GATGGAGGCAATAAGGGGCAGTGGTGAGGGCTGAAGGTCTATACCAAATGATCTGGATTTGAATGCTTGCTTTTTTAAAGTGCTTTTGTGTCACAGTTCCTCTTTGTAAGATTGTATGTAACAGTGACTGCCATGCATTTGTTAGGAGCTTGAGAAATTTAGTTATCTTTCCTGTAATCTTGATGATGATTCACAAATTTAGAGCAAGTCTGTATGTCTGACAGTGTTGCAGTAACTTTCATTCCAAGATTCTTAAGACTTTGCTACATTAGCAATCTTCTTCAAGGAATGACTTGATTCTATTTTCTAAAAAACTCAATCTCCCTCCCTTTTCTCAAGATTTATTCCTGAGGGGGTTGCACAATTCGATGGGTGGGTGGGGTGAAAGAAATGGGGAGGATCTTTTGGGAAAAACAATGTTTTCAAACTTAGTAAATAAACCAGAGTAATAATAAAAAAAAAGCTATATACATGAAATGGCAGAAGTTTTCAAGTTTAGACTCCTCTGAGGAACAGTGGTATGGAAAAGTAAAGTTAAATTTATTCTTCCAGGAAGAATAGAAAAGTAGAGGATAATATTATCATAATGCTTTTGAAATTAGTGAAGATTTTTAAACTGAGTCAGAACCAACTCATAACTGACCCTCCAGTGAGTTTTTAAAGGAGACTGGCCTCGGATCAGCTGATGGATCCAACTACTTATCTTTGTGTTTAGAGCACAATGCATTACCCACCAGATATTCCTGGTAAATTCTGTGGTCTATATTATTTTCCAAAGATTTAATATTATTGCAAAGCTAACTTAGCATATGTTCAAGGAGGCATGACAATATTCCTTTAAATTATATGTGTTGGGTACAAAATGGAAATACATATTTATTTGAATTTAATACAATACCATTTGGTCTCACTATCAGAAGAATGTTGTGTCTCTTAAAGCAGTGATGATGAGGCTGTTGAAAAAAGCAAGCAGATTGTAGGTTGACTGTGAAATTCTAGGGTGAGAACCTCAGTTCCATCAAAATTGCACTTCTCTGTAAGCATCCAATGTCAAAGGTTCCTGGCCAGGTGGAAGTGCGTGAGAACTTGACCCTACTATTCCATACCACCGTACTCTACTTTATTCCATTTGGGGTCTGTAGTAGCTACTTCCTGATGAATAAAAAGTAGCCTTGAGGTTGTAAGATTACTATGGGATACATAATAAGGATTTTATGGAAGTTCTTTTGGTTGTTGAAGTGTAATTTGGAGACTTCATTTTATTATGTAAAATGATTTCTAGCACGGACTAGTGCAGTGGTGAAGATGTTATAATGCAATATTGGAATCCCTCAAAATTCTGAAGTGGACATTCATTCTCTTAAGTTTTAAACTACCAGTTCAGAATAATATTGAAAAACTTAGTTAAAATATATTATTTTGACTTTCAGGATGAAAAAATAAAAGACTAGAATTCCATATATAAAGTTGTTAAAAAAATAAATTATTCCTTCCATAACTATTTATCACTGAGTATATTCTAGACCTCATTATTAGGTGCTGTCGAGTTGAGTATGACTCACAGTGACCCTATCAACAATAGAGCCTTGTCCTATCCTTTGCCACCTTTTAAAATGTAAATAGTTTTAATAGTCTTATGTATTATTATCGTAGTGTTTATGGTTGTTATTATAGCTTCCCAATACTTAATATTTAGTTCATTGTGGAAACCATATTTTGTCATCACAAGAATTCCACAGAAAATGAAAATATAATGTGTGTATGTAATGTGTGCCCGATATATATGTGTGCGGATATGCTAGTTAGAATATTCAAAAGCTGCACAATTCTGTTTTTAAATCCCTTCTGTTCAAAATACTTGAGTATTTTTGGTTAAAGTGGTTCTTTTTAGATTTTGGGAAAAATATTTTCGTTTCTTTCCATTTCTTTTGTATATGGAAGCAGACTGTGTATAAATTAGAAAAAATTTTCCCAGAGCTGCTCAGAGACATTAAGAATCAGGTTTTTATTGAGTCAATTTCCATTTACAGTGACTCTATGTGAAAGTAGAACCTGGCTCCATTGCACTTTCAGTGGCTCAGTTTTTGGGAGTGGTTGGGCAGGTTTTATTACCCTAAGTATCTTGGAGTGGATTTGAACTTTCATCCATTTAACTATACCATCCACGGACTCCACTAAGAGAGGATACTAAATGAAGCATAACAAAAAACAGACCCAATGTTGTGACAAAGCCCACTGCGATGGAGAGCCACCCTCCATCTTCCTTTCTAAGACTGTAAGTCTCAGTGGGAACACATTGCCTCATCTTTCACCCTTCAGAGTAGCTTGTGGGGTTGAGCTGGAGATCTTTTGATCAGCAGCCCAGCACTGAACCTTCTTCTTGTTGTCAGGGGCCATCTCGTTGACGACTTACAGTGTGCCCTTATGAACTAGATCTACCTTGTGCTATCCTCATTATCTTTGATAGACTCCAGCCCCTTGTTACCATCCTGTGTCAGTCCATCTTTTTGAGGGCCACCTCCATTATTTAAGCCTCAAATAAAACTTAAAACCCAAAGCTTGCTTCTGGTGTTAGGTGAGTTGGAACCCACTGATAGTTGACCCTCCAGTGGCTTTTCAGAGGCAGTAAATTGCACAGGAGGAGGATGCCTGTTTCCCATGTGGAGCAGAGATGGATTAGAACTTTGGCAGCACAGTCACTTTCGACTAAGCCACTAGGGTTCCCTTCACTTGCTTTGCAGTTGTCAGACGATATGCCCTAAGTATTACTTCCTGATACAGTTTTAGACTACTCTTTTAACCCCATGGATTCCCTATGAAGACAAGTTTCTTTTTTTAAAACATTTTCCCTGTGGAATTAAAGAGTTCACCTACACTGAATGATAACTGGACTTTCTACCTGAGAGTAGGACATTTAGAAACCAAGTTCTTTCAGATCACAGTTAGTTGTACAAAGTCACAGTAACTTATGCTTGACTTTTAATGAAAGTAATTATAATTTGGTGTTCAGTGTTTCTTAGTTATTAATCTTTCATTAATTATGAATTAAAATGCTTGGATAACTATTTACTATATATATTCTGAAATAAATGCACTTCTTACAATATCCATATTGGATTATTTGCGTTAAAGTTACATTTGGGCTCCAGTGGCTTAAGGGATAAAGATGCTGCACTATCAACTCAAAGGCACAAAGGTCAAATCCACCAGCTGCTCCATGGAAGATGTGTGATTCCCTCCTGGGTGATTTACAGTCTCTGAAAACCTGCCAAAAGGCCAGCTATATGTCAGTTCAACCCACTGGACATACCAACAATACAGAGAGTAGGCTGTGTGGAAGAATGTTTAGATTGTATATTCTTTGCCATTTACACCTTTAAATGCAAACGAACCATTTTAAAAGAAACACAATTTGTGAAGATCATTTGAGGATAGTTTCTTTCCTTTTCCCTCCTTTTTTATTTAGGCTCAGATAGAAATAGTGATATATTCAAAAGCAAAAGTAAGCATCTTTTGGGAGACTGATACTTGTGTTCAGATTCCAGTGGAAAGGCTAAATTGCAGTTCAATTTTAACCTCCTTCCCCTCCCTTTTATTTTAGTGTGAAGGAATGGCAAAATAAAGCATTGAAGATTGTAACACTGAGTGTTCCAAGAACAGTAATTAGGGAGCTGTTAAAGGATCTTAAAAGTGGATGAGTTGGAGATTTAGGTAAATATTAGGAATTTAGGTAAGGATTAGGGACATATTAGGAGATTTTTAACATGGCTTCCCGTGGGAACATTCCTCTTGGACACTTAATTGTCCTCATGTCAGGAAATACTGAGCAGAGATGAGGGAGTTGTTGGACTGGGATAGGGATAATTTGTACTCCCTTCTCCTTTTCCTCCTTCTCAGAGTTTGCATCAATTTCTCCTTTGCTATAAAGTGGAAAGGTCCCCTTCTAACAGCTTGTCAGAGAAGGATACCGTTCAATTTCAGGATGGGCTTTTTGGAGTTCAGGAATGATCTTTTCTCAAACTCAGCGGCGACATCCATCAATCAGTCTCACACACACACTAGCTCAAGTGAGAGGGATAATGGGAAAGCTGAGCGGCCTCCGAGGACCCTTTTGGCCTTTGCCCTAGCACATTTCATTACTCTGAGTTTGGAAGGCTCATCAGGGGAGTAGCCGGCAGGAACTGGCAGAGCAGTCAAGGGAAGGAAACCAGGCGCCCCCATTCCCACCAGTCCCCCAAAGGCACCTGAAGGCACCGGGAATCCCTGCTAGGCACTCTTCACTCGCTCTCCTCTGCACAGAGTCAAGTTTCTTTTGCGCTAGCCACCTGTGTGAGGCGCTCTCCGTGGGAAGAAGCGGCGTGGGAGCAGCGAGTGCTCAGCCACACAGTTTCGGAGCCTTTTACCGAGACACTGGCAGTCACCATACCTCCAGGACTCAGAGCTCTCAGGATGCAGGGTCCGCGGTCCCCTCCATGGCAGAGCGCAGTGCCCTCCAACCTGGCAAGCTCTGGAGCTGGCTGACGCCTCCTCAATTGGCTTGGGGTCCTCCCTGTCCTCGCTCCCCGCCGCCTCCCCATCTGCAAACAGTGCGCCTGCCCCGCTCGCCTTGCACGGTCTCCCCCCTCCAGCGCGCCCCAGAGGTTTATCAGGCTCCCGCACGCACCGCCTGCTTCCTCAGGCTCGGCGCGAGTGACCCACACGCACCCGCAGCCGCCGCAGGGCCCCCCACTCAACTCCCCATCGCTCGCCTCCCCGCGCCCGCGCCTCCGGATTCTTCTCGCAGGCGGCGCGGCGCCCACCGCGGTTCAGGTTTAAGCCCGCCTTGGACCTGCTGTTTTGCTCATCGGCGCACTCAGCTCCCCGGTAAACCCAGAGAAGTGGAATCTGCACACTGAAAAACTCTCCGTGGCTGGGGCCGGTGGACTGGGCATGCTCAGAAGCCAGGGTTGGCTTTGGTCTCAAGTAGGAAGCTTTTGCACTCGGGAGGCAGCGGCGACTTTGGGGAAAGTTGAGCAGAGAAAGGAAGAAGCCCCAAGACGCGGCGCAGCAGCGGGAAGGAGCCCCCGGCAGCCCGGAGGAGCATGGGCACCCTGCGGGATTTACAATACGCGCTCCAGGAGAAGATTGAGGAGCTGAGGCAGCGGGATGCTCTCATTGACGAGCTGGAGCTGGAGTTGGATCAGAAGGACGAACTGATCCAGAAGCTGCAGAACGAGCTGGACAAGTACCGCTCGGTGATACGGCCGGCCACCCAGCAGGCGCAGAAGCAGAGCGCGAACACCTTGCAGGGAGAGCCGCGCACCAAGAGGCAGGCGATCTCGGCTGAGCCCACCGCCTTCGACATCCAGGATCTCAGCCATGTGACCCTGCCCTTCTACCCCAAGAGCCCACAGTAAGCAGGGGTTTTGCTCCGGGTCCCCATGGCACCCCTTCGGTGGGGAGCTGCAGGTCTCTGTATTGTCTGTTGGCCCTCGCCCCTCCACTTGCCATGTCTGTCCTCCTCATCCTCAGAAATGTTTCCTTTTAACTGGCGCTCCTTGTGGGCTCTGCACGTTTCTCAGACCCAGGCTCACTGCACATTCGTTCCTTTCGTGTCTTTGTCAGATCTCAAGGTATTTTAATATATATATATATATATATATATCCATGTGCATTCATGTATGCCACCAGTGTCTATAGAGTTTAAACGCGCCCTAGGTGTGTGTCTGTCCATCTCTCTCGCTCTGTGTGTGTATGTGTGCGTGTGTCTGAACACACACACACACACACACACACACACACACACACACACACGGATGAAAAAGCCCCATCTCCCAAATGCCCTGGCAGACCTGTCCATCTGGAAAATCCTAAATGCAGGCTCATCAGACTTGAAATGAAATGCGTCTGATATCAGCCCTTACTTTCTATGCTTTTGTGGCTCTCTGATTTCTCTACATGCTGGTGATTCATGCTGGCAGCCTTCAAACCTGATGTTCTGTCATCATCAAAGTGTAAAAAATAAGCAAATAGGCATATGAAAGGGAAGAGTTTTGATTTCCTGAATTGGATGACATTTACAATCCAGAAATGGAAGGCTCGTCTGTTGATTTTTTTTTAAAAAAAATCTGAGCAAGAATATTGCTTGTTTTCCTTAAGGAATTTGCATAATATTACTAGTGGGACATTTGGCTCCATCTTAAGAGGGTGGCATGGTTTGCAGAGTCAAGTATAGGTAAGTATACTTTACTAAAAATGTAAACCCACTGTTTGCCTCAGTCTGGCTTCTAAATGCAGCCGTTCTGGTATTGCTCTAGCATTTTTGAGAACTGGAGAGATCTAATGTCAGTAAGCTTCGTAACTTGGATGGGAAAATTGAATGAAACTTGTTATACAACATTGAACTTGGAGTGCATATGAGGAGTAGCACAGCAGGAGCCTGAGGTTAAGGTATAATGAGGGAACAGACCCAAATGAATGGTATTTTTAATTAACAGATAATGGCACAACTGAGAAAAAGAGAGGGATTTTGCTGCTGTATTCCTAACTACCTCCCATTGGCTGGATGACACATGTTACATAATAATATCCGGTCCCTTGTGACTCTTAAGAAATACAAGAAATTAATGAAAGGATGGAGGAGTAAATATTTGTTTAGGCCTCATTTGTTTATAGAACTTTTGATGGGGCATCATACACTTGAAAACTTAAGAGTCGTACCTACGTATGTGTAATGGTTCCCATGGAACTCCTCTTGCAGCTCTACTTTAGGAAGTTTTTATTGTTCCAGTGATCATTTGGGGGGCAGAGAATAATGGTGAGGTTCTGACCTGGGCAAATTGCCTTAACAGTTCAGTAAACTTAGTTCTACCTTAAAAATCTTAGTAATCTGAATCCACTTTAACTTTCTCTGAGAAATTAATTTGTAGTCCTGACATGCTTACCTATTTTAACTAACAAGGTACATGGACATCTCTCCTGGGCTAAGTTTTGCATAATGAAAAAATAACACAAAGAAAAATAACACAAAGACTGCTTCTTCATCTCTAAGCATACCATAGGATCTTACTTTAAAATCTGCAGGGTTTTGGACAACATCTAATTTTATGGAGATATACATATATTCACACACATATGTGCACCTATATTTATATATGATAGTTTAATAGGTTCTTATAATGATACGTGATTAAGCCAGCTAATAATACCAAACATTCCATTGTAGAAAATTAAGGGAATCTAGGCAGTAGGAAATGAATATAGCAAGTTTTAGAAACTTGACATGTAGAACAGCTAGATATAAAAAGAAAATAATATCCACACTGGAAAAGAAAATTAAGGTGTCAAGTAATTTACAACATTATGGTACACTAAACACGTACTCTCTTAACACTGCTGTACTTTCTGATATTTATTTCATAATGCTTATTTTGAAGAAGTCAGCTATTAAGATACCACTGTGTTGGCTCTTGGTAATTCAGAAGGATTATGTTGCAGAAAATCATAGAGTATCTTCCAAGCTTAAGTAATTTTGGAAAAACATCTGTTCTTTTTTTCACACTTACATGAAGCAAACTAGAATAAAATAGACTTAAGTGGTAGAGTGTACCTTTCTTTGGGGAAAGAGAAGTATATTGTGTGTAAAACTATCGAGCTCATGCCATTTGAAGAGTTGCATGGTATTTTCCCACAAAAAACCAAGACCACTTGCCAAACTGGAGACCCGTTTGCATCTTAATATTTCACACTGGCATATATTTCAGTTTCATAGACATACTGGCAACAAGTGTTTGTTTTCATATTTCATCTTTAATGAAACTTAAATTGGTTTACCTTTCTTAAATAGTATTAATTAAAATTCCAATCAAAATAAAACTGTCTAAAAAGTAGTCTACAATTGATTTCAAGTTCACGTTCAGGTTAATACTCTATTCTCTTTCCACTAAATCTAAATAATTGTCCAGAAAATGTGCTGCTTAATATCTAATGCATGTAAGTATGTTTGTCAAATGTCTCCTGACTGGGATTACCTTTAGAGGGTTACAATAAATGTGCAGTCTTTTAATGACATTTAGCCACCATAAATTAGTACAAATATAATTGAACTTGTTAAAATATCTTTTTCTTTTATTATTATTATTATTATTTTATTTTTTTTTTTAATTTTAGATTCCCCACTAAGCCAGGAACTAGAGTTAAAGCTTTGCCAGGTTGCAGCATAGAGCCAGGTTCTTTTGCAGAACCTGTGAGGCAGGGTCAATGTTTTGGTTTGTCTCTTTTGTAATTTGTTATGAGAAGAGCATTTTAGCCCCTCTTATCTTATGAATAGGGGACTCCAATGATTCAGAGGAAGTTTCATTGCTGAGCCAAAGGTGGTGCCTCTCTGGCAATTCCAGTTCCCCAGTAGCTCTGTGGGAGAAGGATCCGCGGTCTTCTCCCATGTGGCTTTACAGCCTCCCAAAAACCTACTGAAAGATCCATTCCCACATACACAGGTTCCCACTTGTTGGCAGGGAGTTTGAGTCTTGAGTTTTATGTTATGAATGTGAAACAAAGACCTGATGATAGCAGATTGGCAGTTTGTGTTTTCCTGTTACCAAATCATTGGGCAGTCTCCTTCCTTGCAATTAACTGCTTCTGCAAACCCATTGGAGAGTCAGCTCTGGGTCAGTTCCAATTTAATAATACATAACAACCACCATCAAATGACTGAGAATATAATGCTAGTAGGCTATATGGTTTGAAGTAAGTTGATCAACTAAGTAAACTATGGAGCATGAGACAAAAACCAGACAAAGCCCTTCTGTTGTATGAATTCAGGTAACCTATTGGTTGTGCATGTAGAATGGTTCTTATGGGCCATGCTAAGTCCATTTATTTCAAATAATCTTACTATTAAAAATTGCCTTCAGTATTGACAACAGTATTTCTTCTCTGGCATTTTCGTCAAACCTCTTTGTTGTAAGCTGTCGAGTTGGAACCAATCCATAATAGCTGACCCTTCAGCATGTTTTCAGAGGCTGTTAATTTCAGGGGAGAAGATTGCTCCTCCTTCTTCCGCTGAAAGATTTACTGGTGAATTCAGACTGTGTGCCTGTGGGATTCCAGGGCAGCGTCTTACCATTAGGTCACCAGAGCCCTCTAACCTCTTTACATATTCTAAACAAATCCTTTCCCTTTTACTGTCTGGGCGTTCCATTACATTTCAGCCAGACTTACAGACTTGAGGTGTGCCTGAGGCATAGTCCTTCGGGGGATTATCTGGTAGTTTGAATCCACCAATATCAGCAAGAGAAGATGGATGTTTTCCTTTTATAGGATTTAAAGCCTCAGAATCCCAGTGGAAAGTCAGCTATGAGTAGTTTTGACTTGGTTTGGACTGAATAGCATTGAGTGTGTGAGAGAAAGATATAAACAGGTTTCCATCAAAATAGTGTCTAATTAATAGTGTCTATTTTTGTGTGTTGGTTTGTTGGAGGTTTTTTAATAATTTTTATGGTTTATTTAGCACAAATAAATTGTGTAAACGAGCTTTCTATGTCTTTTCTTTGCTGCACAGTCTGGCACTGGGATGGGTGACTCTAATTGTCACCTGGGCTGCTCTTTGCATGATGGCTTTGCAGTTCTTGGAGGAAACATTGTACATAGTCTCAGGACAGTGAGATTTGTTGAACATCAGCAGCACTGCCAGCTCCTTGGCATTGTGGGCTAGGAACTTGCAGAAGCCCCTGGGCAACATGTGCTTCGTCTTCTTGTTGCTCCTGTAACTAATGTTGGGCCTCGAGATCTGGCCCTTATGTCTTCTCTGAACCCTGTCATCTGTCCCTCTGAGCTTGTGACAGTTAAGCTTAATCTTGGCATAACAATCTGTATGGTGCCAAATGAACTTCTTGGTCCTCCTTTCGATGGACTTTGGCTTCACTGGGGCTCAGAAGGCAGCCTTTATGACAGCAGGCGATGACTACCATCTCCATAGACAGTACTGAAGGAGAGAAAACAGTGTCTGCTTTGATAAGTTGTTGTTTTTCACCCCAGAAGAAGTGGAATTTCAGAGAATGATGACACGGTCAACTTTTTTTGATTGTGAAGTACATAGATGAGCTGCAGATGAACGAAATGTATTTTATTTTAAACTTATTGTTATGTGCCGTCGAGTCACTTGTGATTCATAGTGATCCTATGGACAAGAGCCCTAAACCCTCTCTATCCTGTCCCAACCTCACCGTCTCTGACACACCTATCCCGTTACTCTAATCACTGAATCTATCCATCTCATCAAGGGCTTCCTCTCTTGCAGTGTCCCTCCACTCTCCCAAACATGATGGCCCTCTCCAAAGAATGGTCCCTCCTTGCAACATGCGCCAACTATGTCAGATGAAGCTTCAGAATCCTTGCCTCCAAGGAGCAGCCCGG